TGAATCAAAACAATATTTATATTAACAAATGTGAAAGCTCAAACTCGGGATCGTTGTCCTCAAACGTTATTTGCCCCTTTTCCGATGTATTCGAGATGCTAAAAGGTATTCCGGCAAATGGTTTGAAGGATTATAACAAGTCTTGTAAAGAATTTCACCAAAGCACAAGATGAAATTCTTCAAAACTTGAAGAACACGAGAATATGAATATAAATCGGGATTTGATTTTTCTTGGAACAAAGTATGGATTGCAAAATATTTTTCTTACTTTTTTCCCTCAAACGTGGCTCTCTAATATATAGCCATCGACCAGAAGTACGAAATGGTGCGAAAAAATCAAGTAAAAATCACCAAGTTCAAATTTGCAACAAAAAAAAATGGTCAAAAATATGTACCATGCGGTCACATGGACCTTTTTTTTCATTATTTATTGTTGTTTTGAACAACATAATCATAGCGCTGTTTGCTTAAAATAAAGGGGTAGTTGGAGGGCAATTTGTGGACACAAATGAAATTTGTGGAGCGATTGCCCGAATAGCCCAGTCGATCCGTGCTAGCTTGGCAATCTTCGATGAGTCCAAGTAGGAGAGAATGGAGAGTGGGTGGCCATATGGTAACAAGATTGGTGAGTGAGCTGCGGAGGGAAGTTTGAGGAAGGCAATGAGAGATGATGAATTGGGACAGTGAAAGGAGAGATTGAGAGAGGAGGGTTTTGAATATCTTCTTTTATTACACCGTAATTAATACGTAAAAAGAGAAGGTTAAAAAGGTTAAGTGCATTAATCAATTTTATAACACCCAGGCCATACTGGGCCTAATTTGCTCAAAAAAAATTCTTTCACCCCCTTGCATGTGTGAGAGGCCTACATAGCCAGCACAATCCATTGCATTATTCTTGATGATGCTGAAATCAAGGTACCAATCCCCCAGACTTTTGGATATTATCTTTGCTAATGACGTCGCGTGAAAAATTGACTTTTGTGCTTTATGTTTGTGCAAAGGAAAATGCAGTTCTAATTCAACGTGATTGTTGGATGGAAGTCTTCCATCTGAAGGCGGTCATGAGCAACTAAGTACAAGGATTTATCTAATTATTGATTTACAAATCTACTACTTTTCTTTTAGTTTCTAAAAAGAGTTTGGCCATTCTATTATGTTTTCTGCAATATGAATGTTCCCTAAGCTTTGATTTGTCCATTTCAGGCTTGAGGAGGTTACATTGCAAAGCCTGGAGTCACAATTCTCGGTACTTTATCAACACTTTCTCCGTATCTGTTTCTTTCACCCTAAAACCGTAACCTTGTGAATTTATTTTGAACCAGGCGAATTTGTATCAGCAGAAGTGATGGTAATCAACAGCATTGTCCTTCCAAACAAGACACTTAACGAAAGCGTTCAAGAAGAAATCATCCTGTAGTACCATGAGACATTTTGCAACGACGATCTTATTACTTATTTTTTAATGCATCCCACCAAGTAATTTCTTCAAATGCATATATCATCATTTCTATAAAAGCGCACACAATAATTCGTATGGAAATTGCAAGAAAAAAAAAAAAACACCAGTGATACTGGTGAACATTTAAGGTTAGAAATCTTGACATAATCTCCTGCTTCTATATCACAGATACATTCTGCAATCCCTTGTATAAAGTAATTTCTTCAAATGCATATATCATCATTTCTATAAAAGCGCACACAATAATTCGTATGGAAATTGCAAGAAAAAAAAAAACACCAGTGATACTGGTGAACTTTTAAGGTTAGAAATCTTGACATAATCTCCTGCTTCTATATCACAGATACATTCTGCAATCCCTTGTATGAACCAATCAAGTTTCGATTTTGACAAAAACAACGAAAATAAAACACATTATAGATAGCTAAAAACTTGGCCATGTGCAGATGGAAGCCTCTGTCACTATCTTGTCTTACCTTCCATGCTACTTAAATGTACACTACATTTTCTTCAAGCTTTACAGGCAAGATAGCCATAAGCAGATAGAAACCACATGAATCTTTCATCCTGTAGACTTCACCTAACATTCAGTATTTCCTAAACGCACACTCGATTCAACCTTTATGTGCACGATCACGCCAAGAGCCTTGTTGCATTGTTAGTACCTATAGAGACAAGATTTTATAAACATGGTCACAACACAAGCCATAGTTGCAATCAACCATAATATCACGCGAAATCTCTCACCTGGTTACTAAGAAGACTTTTGACGGGTGAACTTCCATTCTCCTCTTCAGTATTATTATCCTCTTCTTCTTCGTTATCTGTATCTGCATTTAGTGGCAGTGAAGAGGCTCCAAACATCGCCTCGTCATGAGCAGCCTTGATATCTTCCTCTTTCTTCGCCTGTAAAATTAAAGAAATGTATACAAGTTAAAAATCTTTGACAACGATATGACTTTCTCAAAACAGACCATCAATCAGAAACAAACACGAGAGCAATCAAAGGATGTGCACAGTACCTCCACTGCAGAAAACCGAAAGCTTTGTCCCAAGTGCTTGACTAATGCTGCATCATCCTCCACAGCTGCCATCACAGGACAAAGCAGTATAATCGCTCTTAGCGCCATATACAAGAAAATGTGGGAACTTGGAACAAGCATTAAGTCTCAGTATGGCAAATTTATAAATGGTATATAAAGATGAATACAAAGCAAATAATAGTGACTCCACGAAATGCGTGAATATAAATGAGATGTAGTTAAGAATGAGTGGTTAAAATTAATACTTAACTTTGACCGAATTTATAAACCATTTATAAATGGGTTGTCAAACCGAGGCTAAATATTATTTCCAGCATATCTCAGGTTGTAAAGCAATATTAGAAGGTTGGAACAAGCATGTTTGGTAGGTGATTATGATCGGTTTCAATTACAAGTACATAAAAATGAGTGATAGATAAGTGGGTAGCACTTGTGGATCCTATGAATAAAAAGTAGGTCTGACCAAAAGTGTTTATTAATTATAAACCTTCCTCACACTTAATGAACGAACTTTTTCTATAAAATATCCCTTTATGAAAATATTTGCCTATGCATCAACTAAACTACCCTGGAATAATCCTTAGTCAGATTCCCAGCCTATTGTAAACCAATATTAAAGAGTTCCAACAAAACATCCAATCATGTTAAAATCCTCTATCGTGGAATCCTTTATAAGGACAATGGTCCATGACTCTATCGAGAGTGTACTTTTATATCTTTATTGTTTCTTGAATTATTTTATTGATACATGTTGAGGCTTACGGTCGGAGGGATTCAAAACCCAACACCATGGTTTGTAGTCACGTGTTCTTATCCTCTGAGCTACACACACCACCCCATCTCCATTGGATCCGAAAAAAGAACCTTTCCTCTTCCCTCCCCAGCCATTTCATTTTCAGTCAGCGAAATGTAGACATACTGACATATACCTGATTTAGCCTTTCCAAACAAAGATTAATTCTCTTCTTATTTTATTTCATTCATCCAGATCAGTTACCATTACCCATTAATCATTAAAAAATTTATAAATGGTAACCAATATTAAAAGCTTGGAACAAGCATGTTTGGTAGGTGATTATGATTGGTCTCAATTATAAATAGATAGAAATGAGTGGTAGATAAGTTAGTAGAACTCGAGGATCCTATGACTAAAAAGTAGGTTTGACCAAAAGTGTGTATAAATTAAAAACCTACCTCACACTTATTGAATGAGCTTTTTCAATAAAATATCTCTTTATGCAAATTTGCCCATGCATCTATCTACCCCGGAAGAATCCTTAAGTCGGAGTCCAAGCCTATTGTAAAACAATATTAAATAGGTCCGACAAAGCATCAAATCATGGTAAAATCCTCCATTGTGGAATCCTTCATAAGGATTATGGTCTATGACTCTATCGAGAGAAAAAAAAATTAAATCCTTATTGTTTCTTGAATTATTTTATTGATACATGTTGAGGCTTACGGTCAGAGGGATTCAAAACCCAACACCATGGTTTGTAGTCACGTGTTCTTATCCTCTGAGCTACACACACCACCCCATCTCCATTGGATCCGAAAAAAGAACCTTTCCTCTTCCCTCCCCAGCCATTTCATTTTCAGTCAGCGAAATGTAGACATACTGACATATACCTGATTTAGCCTTTCCAAACAAAGATTAATTCTCTTCTTATTTTATTTCATTCATCCAGATCAGTTACCATTACCCATTAATCATTAAAAAATTTATAAATGGTAACCAATATTAAAAGCTTGGAACAAGCATGTTTGGTAGGTGATTATGATTGGTCTCAATTATAAATAGATAGAAATGAGTGGTAGATAAGTTAGTAGAACTCGAGGATCCTATGACTAAAAAGTAGGTTTGACCAAAAGTGTGTATAAATTAAAAACCTACCTCACACTTATTGAATGAGCTTTTTCAATAAAATATCTCTTTATGCAAATTTGCCCATGCATCTATCTACCCCGGAAGAATCCTTAAGTCGGAGTCCAAGCCTATTGTAAAACAATATTAAATAGGTCCGACAAAGCATCAAATCATGGTAAAATCCTCCATTGTGGAATCCTTCATAAGGATTATGGTCTATGACTCTATCGAGAGAAAAAAAAATTAAATCCTTATTGTTTCTTGAATTATTTTATTGATACATGTTGAGGCTTACGGTCAGAGGGATTCAAAACCCAACACCATGGTTTGTAGTCACGTGTTCTTATCCTCTGAGCTACACACACCACCCAAGAAATGATATATATATATATATATATATATATATATATATGGGGAACACCATATGTCTCCCATGCATATTCTTCCTAATACGTTCATAATGTGCAAATCTCACCCTTTAATTTTACAGCGATTTACTTATTGCTCCACCAAAAGGAGGTCATATATATATATATATATATATATATATATATATGGGGAACACCATATGTCTCCCATGCATATTCTTCCTAATACGTTCATAATGTGCAAATCTCACCCTTTAATTTTACAGCGATTTACTTATTGCTCCACCAAAAGGAGGTCATATATATATATATATATATATATATATATATATGGGGAACACCATATGTCTCCCATGCATATTCTTCCTAATACGTTCATAATGTGCAAATCTCACCCTTTAATTTTACAGCGATTTACTTATTGCTCCACCAAAAGGAGGTCTGCGCTTGACATTGTCCAAGTAACTGAATAGCTTGCGATTATAATTTTTCTGGACAGAAATGACCTTGCAAATTATCCAGCTTAAACCCAAATATAAATAAATTAACTCAACTGCTTGTCTGCATCAGTGTCACAATGTTTTGACGGAATTATACAGTGTCACTATTGGATAGCATCGTTTGGGTATATCAAGTATTCAAGAAATTGGCCACGTCATGCTATCAGAAAGAAGAAGACGATATTTATGTCATTTTATACTTCCAAAATTCTTAAAAGATTTGCATCGATTCCTGCAGATACAGTCAACATCAGTTAGCTGGGCAGAAACTTCAATTGTACAGTTGGAGAACAAAACTTCACCTCCTCCACTATGCTCGAATTTAAATCGCCAACCTGAAGTTTTATAACACAATTGTGTAACATCCCATTTTTACTAGTTGTTAGATTTAAATTTAGAACTTAAGTGCGCTATTATTAAAATCTAACCAATAATTGGTTATTGGCATAGTTTAATGACCTTATTGGCTGTTGGCCAATAGTTTAAAGACCTAAGCGGAGAGTTATTTAGGAAGTTAGATGAAATCATGCGCAAAACATATGTAAATATGCCGACTGGTCTTGATTAAAAATGATTTATTGACCAAATGCATTTTTCACACCACATTTCAGATCAATGTAATTGATTTGACCACATAAATAAAGGTAATTGATTTTACCACAAGCATTATTTACATTAAGTTTTAGGTCAAGTCAATTGATTTGACCACATGATTAAAGGTATTGATTTAACCATTTTCATAATAATAGACCATTTATTTATTGACCATGCTTCATATCTAGCCATTTCTTTTCATTTTTTTACACATGGCCCAAGAATTTACATTATAAATAGAAGACAAACCCAACACTAGACAACCCTCACGAACTATTTATACACTCTTTCTCTCTAACCCTATCAATTTGTCTCTCCGCCTTTACTCTTTCTTTTGTCCTTTTTATATTAAATATAATCATATATTACACAATCACACGTAAATATTCAACCCCACATGCGGCTTAAGGATCTCTCCCAACAATCACCCCTCTATCATTTTTGAATTGTTTGATGAAAAATTAAGTTGTGCTTTACGTTTATGTTGGCTAATATTTATGTATGTGATATTTTTACGGCTATGTTTTATATTTCAGTCCATATTATGTATGTTCTACTCAAAATGAACACGAGTTTAGTAGCGCCATACACGAGAATTTAGCATCATATAAGTTCGATCTCATTTTTGTGTCTCCCTATGCTAGTTATGAATTTTTTGTAGAAATACATATATGAATTCATTATTCGCGCATATTTATTGAGAATTATTCTCATCCCTGTCTCTGCTTTCATATAATTGATGATTCGAGGTGATCGGTACAGAGATGGCTTATAGTGGCAAAAGTTTCAATAATAAAATAATTATGTTGTCAAACTATTGTTATTTCAATTGATTTTAAATATTTTAAGATATGTCTCGTTTCAAATTTATTTATTAAACTCGTTACATTATTTGAATTTTGATAAGTGCTTTAATAATTTATATAATTGTGTTAAATACTCTTTAAATTAGTTTTTTTTTATGATTTAGTGGCACTTGGATTGTTAAAGGTTTGGATCGCCACAGATTGTGTGCGCCATCATGATTGTGCGCGCATTTGCGCAAACAATTCCAAACAACACCCAATAAACATTCCAGCCAGAGCCCAACTCTTAAATATCTTAGCTGCAAGAATAGCACATGAATAGCAGTTTAAACCTATTGATTTAAGCAAACTTTTTGTGACCTATGGTATGTTCTTTATGTGTGTCAGAATTTCTATCCACAGTACAATAACTACCCTTGGAATATTTTTAGCTTAGATCAGCAAAGTAACATATTCGTAGTGCTGGTTGAGTTCCACTGCTTCATGTACTTTCCTTGTTATAATCACATTTCTGAAAGCTGCACTCACTTGGACGTCCATTAAAGTTTTTACTTCATTTCAGTTCACTCTTCCTCAAGTCTTGTAATTCGTTATAGAGTTATCAATTGGCACCATCAGTTGTTCCAACTGTGCACAGAAGATACAGGGAGCTCAAAGTTCTAGGCACCTCCTTTTTCCCAAAAATTACTGCTTATCTGAGATGTTCGGCAAGAATTTTTATGCATCACATTCTGTAACCTAGATTATGATCAAATCTTTCCTACGATTAGTTAACAACTAAAAATCCTCGCAGGATAACATACAAGGCACCGGGGACCAGAATCAAAGGGGCAGACTGATTATGTTCTCAGGATGGCTGAAGGATAGACTACATATCTAACCTTTGACGTCCTTGGAAGCCAGAAGCAGAAGGTATCAGAAGGATATGCATTAAAACTATCACAGATAAGCACTCAGATACACAGAGGAAGTGCAAACGAAAAATTAGGATAATTACCAGTTTTTGAAAGCTGCAATTCCATCTTCGCTTTGACTCTTTCAGCTGGTGTCTATTAAAAATAAAAAAACCACGATTATCAAATTTGATATGAAATGGAATTTGCAGAAGACATTTATAAATAGTAGAAAACAACATATAATCAACTTAAAGTACTTCATTGTGCCTATCCACTTACTGTATCCATCTTTGCAGGTAAAGACAAGGGCAAATTAAGTATATATTTGGGCATTCTTCTTCGCGAATAATCAATACAACCAATTCAGATACAATTTGAACAAAAGAAATTCTAATGTTTAAGTCACAGAACTGCTCTTAGTGATATAATGCCACAGCTTATGCAATAAAATTTGCACAAATTAACCTTTGACTGGTAGAAATAGCTACAGCCTTGTAGTCCCCAGCTCCATTCCCCGTCCCCACAAATTAAAACATATATGGGTTACTTAAAATAACAGCTTTCACTAATCACTCTTAAACAAGCCTCAGTTGCATTTGTTTATGTTTACATCTTCACACTATGAATAACACCATTCACATTTTCCCAAGGTCCTATACAGTCTAAAACCTCTTTTCAGACACTGGCAAAGAGATAATAAGCATCAAACAATCCAATATAAGCTAAAGCCAAAGGGTTTAACACCCTTATTATGATCAAATATCATGAAATCATGGATACAAGGCCCATGTCATACCAATTACCCTTATAAAATCCGCACAATATCAAATTCAAAGTCAAGGAATCTGGCTTTTTTGGCTGTAAAACAGTAGAAAACACAAATTCAGGAACCAAAACCACCAACCAGAATCAACACACAAAAAGTTTAAATCTTGTGGCTGTAAAACTAATTGCATGTACATTAAAAACCCAAATTCCAAATTGTTTAGCAAAATCAATAGTTGAAAGGCGATAATTCTGAACAACACAAACCATCTTGTCATAACCTTCAATCAGTTTAGTGTAATCAACCCTGCCTCCGCCCCCAACACCATTCTTCTTCTCCCCACGCTTTCTACCCTTCTCCATCCTCTGCCCTGGCGACCAACTTCTCGACCTCCTCTTACTCCTTTCTCTCTCTCTTTCCCTACTCCTACTCCTAGACTGATGTTTACGCCTTGACCCATAATCCTCCCGACTCCTGCTCCTTCGCCTTGCCCGCCGATCCCGGCTCCGGTGACGATGCCTTGAATAACCATTTGGACTTTGGCTCCTGCTCCGGCTCCGGCGCCTAGAATATCTAACTGGGCTTCGGCTTTGGCTCCTGCTGCGGCGCCTTGAATGTCTATCTCTAGTTTTATCTCGATCCGGACTCCGACTCCGACTCCGACTCCGGCTCCGGCGGGATGAGCTTCGACTATTTTTGTCTTGGTTTGGGGGTTTTACGTTAGGTGCTTTGTTAAGCTTGTTTTGGATGGACTCAAGCTGGGCTTGTTTATGGAAACTGGAAGAGGTGGTGGGACTGGAGGCTTTCACGAAACTGCTGAGAAAAGATGAGGTGCTAGGGAGAGCGGAGCCTCTGGGTGGAACTGTGTTGTTGGCGGGAGTGGTGGAAGAAAATCCAAGACCTTGTTTGAATCTGGCGGCGCCACCGCCTTTCTGAGTTAACTCGTCGTAGTACGCGGCCAATTTATCGTCCTCCATTTGCTTGAAGTGGCAGCAGAAGCGGAAACGCCGGTGAGAGTGCTATGAATTGGTCTATTTTGACTTAGGCCCAGAATCAACCCGAATATTCAGCCTGTAAACTTGAGCCCAGCCCACATAAGAATAATCCTTATCCTCCATCGGATTTTTATTTTACTTTATTTATTTATCTATTTATTTATTTATTTATTATTATTATTTTGAATTGTGAATTTTCATCACTATAACTATTATGAATCCAAAAAATAAAATAAAATAAAATATATATAATTTTATTTGAAAATTATTACACAAATGAATAATATTTATTTTAGCCAAAATTAATGTTATCATTTAAGAAAAAATTCTTAAGAAATGAGAAAGAAGAATAATCAAGGTTAGTAAAATATTATTCAATAATAGAATAAAATAATATTAAAAATAACTATGGTAAATGAGAAAATAAAAATATACTTTTAAGTAAAAAAGGGGAGAATTCGTTGAAAACAAACTTTATGGGCATGTTTACTTCAGTAAATAAGTATGAATTCTCTGCATTATCGTTGAAGACGTGAAATTATTATTCACATTTTTCAAATCTCTGTTATAATGGAGTAAGCCTATGCATCTTTATAGTTAAATTTGGCTCAACAAAATAGTCAAACTCTGATTGAACTTTTAGTTCATAAATTTTTAGTAGATTTTGATAGAAGTTAATAAAATGTGTGGTTGAAAAATTATAAGAATCATAAAATATGTAGTTAAAATTAATTATTGATTTTGACTTAAATTAAATTCTAGATTTTAATTCGTACCAAACAGGATTTACAGCTTGTTTGGGAGCAATTTTTTGCCACAAAAATTTGATTTTTTGATCGTTATTTTACTATTCCAGCCGTCATATTTGACTTCTTCTCTCACAGGTGGACCACACTTTTCCTCTAACGGTCAAAAAATCAATTCTCAAAATCACTCACAAACAGACTCTTAATGAGTAGAGTTCAAAACACATCATCTCTGTTTACGACTTGAGATTTGCCATATGTACACTAGAGTTAAAAGTATATAACTCTAGTGTATAGCTCCCCTTGCATTGGGGGGCATGAATTTTTTAATCACGATGGACCTTTTCTTATGTAAGGGGATTGTGCACTACAGTATACAAGTGAAATTTCCTTTACAATTTTGTCTGAAAGAAATCAATTCTATCAATAAGATTCTAAGCCATGATTGATAAGGATTATTTAAAATTTATTTTTAAGAAACAAATTATTTTCAAATATATATTCTCCAGATAAAAAATTGATAAAGATTATTTAAAATTTATTTTTAAAAAACACATTTTTTTCAAATATATATTCTCTTGACAAAAATAAAGTTTGAACGTAATCTCATAACTTTTCTCCGTCTAAAGAAAATCAAATAGATTACCTTTTAGTTTATAATTAAAAAATTAAAAATGGATCCTACGTTTGTAGATCTCCCAATGGCAGGGAGGATATTGGCTCAAATCCAAACAGAGAGTTGGATCTCAAAATCCAATCAATTAAATAGCATCGGGGACACAAAGTGGAACAAATCCATTATTTAGAGTATATTTGAGAGTGATTTTGAGAATTGATTTTTTGATCGTTAGAAGAAAAGTGAGGTTCACCTGTGAAAGAAGAAGTCAAATATGACGACTAAAATAGTAAAATAACAATGAAAAAATCAATTTTTTTTGGAAAAAAATTACTCCCAAACATGCTCTTATTATTTATTACAAAAAAAGAGTTCTGCTTGCTGTGAAAGAATGCCCTAGAGCCCCATTTTTGGTAGAAAATATTCTTGAATAATGTATTTAATAGAAAATATGTGATTAACAAATAAGAAAAAAAATTAAATTTACATGTAATATTATTTTATTGAAGAACGTGTGATTGAAATGATATCAAAATACTGTTTAAGAATGCACATTTTTTTTTCCAAAAACGCTTTTCTCCCTCATTTGTTAGTCAACTTTGTTCTTTAAAAAAAAATAATGACAATAATAATAAAATCCTTTTGTAGAGGACAGTGATGACAACGAAACGGGTACAGTACAAGTTGATAATTTTCGTCCCCATTTCATCGAGTATTTTTGTTACATTACTCCGCCCCATACTTTGTTAAAACATGATGGGATAGGTTCGGGGCAAGGATGGGATAGGTCTCCTGTCCCGTTTATCGTCCTTTTTTTATTTTTTTATTATTATCTATTTTATTTTTTGCTTTTATTTTATTTATATATTTAATTAGTGAATATTATTATTATTTTCAATTTGTTAAAAACAATTCTTTCTTTTTTCCTTTATGAAAAATGATGATAAGTCTTTTTCTTTTTCTTTTTCTTTTTCTTTTTCTTTTTTTTGGATAAAAAACTTAAATTTTAAATTAACTTTAAGCAAGCGCAAGTAGTAGACAGGTATCATGTTTTTCGTACCCGACCTGTACCTGTTCTGGGGCAACGACTCCTACCCCGTCTCTATCCCGTTTATTTTATTAAGCAGGTAATCCCAACCCGTTTGAATCAGGCCCACAGATATCTGATCAATTATATATTTTTTCAACTTATAAATCCCAATAAAATTAACCCATATTTCGTAAATGCAATTTGTTTATTTTCGATACTCTTCTCACCTTTTATTTTTTTTATTTTAGATCATCGTTATAAAACCTGGCTTGGATTGGCTAGTCGGGCTGGAAAATCGATGAGCTGGGCCTCTGATCGGGCCAGGTAAAATATTCTCGTAGATATGCAACTGACTCGATAAAAGTCGAGTTGACCGAGTCAACCGATGATTTTTATATTAACTCGGACGATTGACTGATTTGACCAAGATTTAAAAATTTGTTCATAAATTTTTTGTTCTCAAAAAGACTTGAACCTTAGACCTCTAGGTAAAGTGAGTATCACCTAACCACTAGAGATTATGTATTTATTGTTATGTATTTGCAATAATTACGTATATGTAAATCATTTATAGTTTGTTAAAAATATTTTTAAAAATTTATAGTAACTATTTTGATTAACATGAATTGAATAGTTAACAAAATAATATATAAATAATTAATGATATATATATATATATATATATATATATATATTATCTAAAAGAAAAACTTTATAATATAAAAAATATTTTATAATTATTAAGTATTGACCCTTCGATTTAACCACAAAGCCGCCGGTTCAAACGGCAACCCGAGACCTGGTGTCTTGACGAGTTCAATGGTCGGGTCGGGTTTAATAATTATGTTTTAGATAATGTTACGTAAGATTAAGTGGTACTTTTAGCATCGGTTTGCATGATATTGATTGTCATCAAAACAATAAGTTTAATTAAACTTAGAGATATGAAATTTATACAATTAGACTGTAACTCCGAACAAGTTAGTTTTAAACACAAGTATTACTCCTTGATTTTTATGAAGAATGCGCATAATATTTGGTTTTGTTTTTAATGTATCACCAAAAGACAAAATTGAATCACCTGAAATATTTGTGGAAAAAGCCAAACGACTCGCGTCATTGACACTTCAGATGACCGCACCCTCACATAGCCTTTGTCAACTTATTTACCTTCTCCATTTAAAGCATTTCCAACCCATTTTCATTATACTATTCATAGTCACTCACTGCCGTAGACGTTCTACGTGGCAGTTTGTGATTTGATATATTAATGCAGTAGTTTCCTCTTACTTTGTATATCAAATCACTAATCGTCATATGTATGCCACGTGAGACAACTGTGACAGTGAGTGACTGCAGATAACATTATTCTTTCACTAAAATGGTATTTATTTGCATATCATTTTATTTAGTCATCTCCAACTTATTATACCAAAATCAAATGAACAGAATTTCCTCTAAAAAACCATTTTTTTAAAAATTTAATTAATACTTAAATGACTAAATTAAAAACTCTATTTAATTAACTTAAACATTACATTTATTAAATAAATTTAAAAAATATTATATTTAGCATCACGATATAAAATGTTGTATAATATAAAAAATAGATGTCAATAGAAAAATAATCAAACTAAAACAAATATTAATTAAATTAAATTATTAAGTAATAAAGAGTATAAAAATGATATAATATGAATTAAAATTTGTTGTAATGTAAAACGAATGACAAAATTTATTCGGAAAAAAAAAATGCTATAACGTCAAATCAAATGAACAATTTTCATTACACCAATTTGGTGTCAATATTTGAAATTGGAAAATCTTTATAGAGAGGTACTTGTTTTGTCGTGAGTGCTTAGTGCTTACCCTCGTGCCTTTGTTGTGATGGGAAATCTTTAAAAGGATACGTCCTTTTTTCCCCTTCCAGTGTGCTTCCCTGGATAATGCCACTAATTCAGTATTATTACATTAAAGTGTTGGGGTTTCTCTTCCTTAAGAGTCTTAGGGGCTGTCTGGGAGCAATTAATGACAGATTATAAGCTGAATTTGTACCGTTATATAGTAGGCATAAGTTGTAGTAGAGCCGCAATTTTGGACCAGTCCAAGCAAATTTACCTATGTGCCCTTGCAAATTTGAAATCATTTTTCTTGACATAAGGGTAACGTTAGTCATTTTGATTATTGGGAAGTCAATAATGTCAGGCGCAATGGGGCCCAAGATTAGTGGCAACGGCTATAAAATTACTTATAATTTTGTCAAAATCGCTACCAAACAGCCACTTAATAATATTCCCCAATAAAACTAAAAGCTTGTTTGGTACAACTTTTTAGCCAATTAAAATCAATTTCTTTATCGTTATTTTATTATTTCAGCCGTCATTTTTAAATTATTCTCTTATGGGTAGGACTCACTTTAACTCTAATGGTCAAAAAATAATTATCAAAATATCTACCAAACAAGCACTAAATGCACGTCTCTATTTTTCAATAATATATTTTTTTTCAAACTCGTATTCAACCTCACTTTCTCTTAATAAGTAACATTATACATAGACATAAAACTCTTTCCTACTTTTTAACCATACATTCTTCAAAATTCCTTTTTACCAAATAATAGAGCTCGAATAATGACATAGCGT